CCATAAAAAATCACTGCCCAAAATGATTTAATATATTTTATATATCTAAATACAATAAGCAAATCTAAAATTATATATTCGGTACATTTTGCATACATGTACTTCTAATTTATTATTTTATAATTTAAGCTCAATGCTTAATATAAGATGCTTAATATAATACTCGCAATGATGGTGTACTAAAGCCTTATCTTGAATAATCAAACACGTTCAAGGTGTTCGTTAAGGTTATCGCCGTTCCTTTTCATCACAGTACTAGACATAGTGTTAAGCAAAACAAACAATAAATGGCTAGAAGAAATTCACGAAAAACTATGTAACTTGGACTACGCAGACAATATCTATTCCATAAGCTACAAAACGAAAACTCGAAGTCCTGGTCAGGAATGCCGATGAAGTCGGTCTCAATAAGACTAAGTTAATGAGTGTCACCACAACAAACAGAATTCGTCTCAGGATCAACATCCATAACTTTAAGGTAACTATTGACGATATTGTGCTCTCTTAGCAGCATGGTTTTAAAAGATGGAGATGCGGATGCAAATGTTGATTCACCATAAGTTTTGGGCAGTGTGGAATTCATGAAATATTGAACAAAAGACCAAATTTAGAATCTTTAATACCAGCGTCAAACTTGTCCTCTTATATGGCTCCGAAACATAGCGTATCCAGTTCTTATCTAGAAAAGTACAAAAATTCGTCAACAAATATCTGCAGAGAGTTTGTGGAATATTCTGGTTGAATATAATTTCAAATCAAGAACTCTACAGTATAGTAGACTACAAACTGATAGTTAAGGAAATGAAGTATCGTAAATGGAAGTGGATCGGGCACACGTTGAGAAAAAATGAAGATGACATTGCTAGAATAGCTTTCGAGTGGAATTCGCAAGGTACTCGCAGAAGAAAATGACCCACAATAACAAGATCGAACATGCTTGAGGGAAGTCTTTCCTACTCTTAGCCTTCGTTCATCTGAAGACGAAAGCTATCTCAAAGATGTTGTTGCATCTAGGTGCTTGATTGGAAAATCAAATTGAAAAAAAAAAAATAATTGAGGGACTTATCTTACGATTGAGCATATATTCGAATGTATTCAATTAAAAAAATTCTAACAAAAATTGTTTATTATTTATTGTAAGAGTTCTAAATGTTTATGTAGGTATATTATAAAATTGGCGAAAACAATTTATTTTTGTATAAAAATACTATGTAAGCAGAGTATTTCCTTTTTGTAAATTAAATTTTTTTTTAATTTCCTTTAATTTAACTTTTTATACGATTTAAATAACAAGTATGTGTGCTGGAAGAAAAGAAAAAGTTGGTGTCAGTATAAAGTGAGATTGCTGGTGTGTTTTTATCAATCTTCAAAATGAGATGTGAGATTTCAATTAACTTTCTTTACAAACTCTGAATGCAAAAACAAATTTCCTCCATTGTAATGTGAAAACGATTTTTATAAGTTTTCACGAACGTATTTTCACATGCGTTGTCAACAAAACAAAAAATACTGAATTTCGTATTTTAAGGAAATAAAAATGGGAACGGAAAAAATTTCATAAGGTTAAACAAAAAATTAATCTTTTTAATCACGAAAATCTTAATTTGTTTTTTGACATAATTTCCTTCCTTCCTGCTACACTCGCAGTAAATGCACTCATTATATTTAATACAAAAAAAAATAAAAAAAAAAAAAATAAGAAAAGTCCTTAGTAGGCAGTGTTGCTCCTCACTTCGCCTGAATTGTTAAACTCAAGGCAATTGTTAATTTTTACGTTTATTATTTCACTGCCCCAAGTTGGGGTTCATGGCTCTTAAACGCTCATGATGAGACTCATAAAAATGTTTGCATTGTCCGTAAAAGTATTTTTATGTCTTCATGTTTTAATGACGGATATATATACAATACAATAAATATATTTTGCTATTTTTATTTTCTCATACAAATACAAAGAGAAATTCGCCCATTTCTTGTCAATTTTATTACATTTTTGTGTTTTTACTTTTTATTGTTAACAATTTAACAATTGTGTTTTAAATGAGTCCATTCTGACCCATAATGGAGTCAGATACAATATAAATCATAATCCGATATTTATAATAATTTTATTATTTGCTTAAATTTACTGGATTTCTTGACTTTACCCGATTTATATTCGTGCTAATATTTACGTTTAAGCAAAAATATTGTTATACCATATATATACCATATATGCCATATATAACATAGGTATATAAAACACTGTGATCAAAAATAAAGTGAAATTAATGTTAATTTTTCCTTGCCAAGTGTGATTCGTCTTATGACGAAAAGAAACTATTTAAAAGTTAGAAGACTTCACAGAGAAATTAAAAGACAACAACAAAAATTTAGTTAATTTATTGAAATTTGGTTGACCATACAACGCTGTTTCGAGTATTGTCAAGTAATTTAGTAATTTAATATTTTTACTACTCAATGGATAATATTGCCATTTATTTAGTAATATTATTAACTTATGGAGATCCTATACTTATTATAGATCCTTAAGGTGTTGCTAAATTAACCGATTATTATGATGATAAACTTGTGAAAAATCAGAATTATAAAAAAATTGATTGTCGGTTAAAAGATATTTTTTTAAATAGCTTTCATAACATCATGGCATACATATATGTTATAATTAGTTAGCTTAAATTAACTGAAACTGATTGTCCCAACGATTAACTCTCAGCGACACCAATTAGGAATATCTAAAACAAAAACCGGCATGGCATAGTCCATCTATCACTGTGCTGACTATTAATGTAGTTTAAATCTTTAGCAAAATCCTTATTCCAATCAAAGTTGGTCTGGGAGTGCTTTCAACTTCTCAACACCCTAGCATCGAGCAACTATGTTACTCTTATGTGCGTACCGGGACACGAAGGGCATGATGGCAATGAAATAGCAGACTCCCTAGCAAAGAAGGGTGCATGTACTCCTTTCATTGGTCCAGAGCTCTTCTGCGGGGTAACAAATAGTTTCACAAATAGCTTATTATGTGAACGGGAGAAACAACATCTACTTGAACACTGGAGAGTCCAAACAGGCATGCGACAGTCAAAAAGATTCATTAATCCTGATCACTTCAAAGTTGATGCTATCCTTGGCCTTAGCAGAAACGATATTAAAATCTACACTGAACTCCTTACAGGACACTGTAGACTTAATTACCACATGAAGATTATAGGTGTGGTAGAAAGTGACTCCTGTCGACTCTGTCATGAGGAGACGGAAACATCAGAACATGTTCGGTGACAAGATGTAGACTCGATTACCTTGGAAGCGGGATATTAATTCCAAGTCAAATAGGTAAAATTAAGTCCACAGCAATTACAAGATTTATAAATAGTTTAAAATTGTCCTAGTTGGGCCTTTAGGCGCACAATAGATCTTTTAGGTCGGGGTGCTTTAATAGCCTATTACTTAAATAATAATTAATGTAGTTTGCTGAATACCTGGCATTAAAGAGGCGGTTGTTTCTACTGGTTTTAGTACTAGTTGAAATATATTCTAGCGGTAAGAATAGTATATTCCGAGCTTTTTTCTGTTAAGAAACTGAGATGATTTTAATTTAGTTAGTTTCTAAGATTATATATTATAAAATCATTATCAATCACATTCTCAGCTGGTCAAGCATGTACTTGTTTCAATATTTTGTTTGTTATCGGTATGTATTTACCGCAATTGTTGGTTTTTAATCAATTTTTCTGATATGTATAAAACTTTCGCAGATTATATTGCATTTATATGCTTATAAGCATTTTGTAATTACTTCAAGACATTTTTGCTTTGAGAGAGATTCTGCCTGCATGTAGAAAACGTTTCCGATAGTTATAAATTATAACTATATGTAATATATTTAAATATATAATTCATATATATATATGTATATATAAGTTATAATTTATATTATAAATGATTCAATATATATACATGAATTGATTGGACTGAACTGAAGACGGAAATATTTCTCTAGTTAAACTAAATATATAAATTTCTATCAGTATCTAAATAACGCAAGATGAAGGTGTGATAAGATAATAGGTCTGTCATCTGTCACCCATTTGTGGGGTAATATACACCAAGATTGAATAAATGAGTTTTATAAAATACATTGCGTAATGGTTTATATTAACGCTAAAGGCCAAATTTTGTAGTGAAAAATATAAAACTGGACTACACCTAAGTATGTTTTTACATTTGTTGAAAATCTTGCTTAATAATATTAGTTTGATTTAAGTGCTTAATGAATTCGGTTGTTAACTTTCCTATTCTTTTATAAAATTTCCTTGCATTAGTACTTTAGTTTGACAAGTTCTTAACGTATTGTGTTGTTAACTTCTTCAGTTTTTAATGAAGTCTGTCTTCATATTCCATCGATTTGTGGAATTTCAACTATTAAACTTAATCTACTTAC